GAGGCCCGTTACACGACGGGCATTTAAAGGGGCAGTCGCAGCCATCGTGACCCTCAGTGCCGCCGCAGGGTGCCCGGTGTTGATCAGTTGTGTGGGAAGGAGAGCTGCACTTGAGGCATCTCTTCCTTCTGGTGCACGTTCGTTCGCTGTGAAAACCGCCGCAGCGGAGACATTAAGGAGACCTCTTCTCCTTCGGGAACTACAGGTTTACAAAAACGCTGGCCCCCATCAAACGGAGGCGTCTTAGTAGTTGCCTTACGGCTTCCGCCTTAAACCAGGCTATCACCGTGCCTAGCCTTTCGACTTCGTCCTTCCTAAAGAAGTATGCTTTTTCAGGCTTAAGTTTCGTCGAGACCTAGATCTCTTCAAGGAGCTCCTCGGTCGTGATTTCCAGCTCAGTGTTGGTTACCAGACAATACCTGGTGTAAGGGACGTTTACGATATAGGCTCGGATCCAGGTATCGCGTTGCTCGATCGCTTACGCTTGGAGAAGGGCAGCGATCTATTCTCTATTCTCTAGCAGGACTTTTACACCATCCATTAACGAAGGTAGGAGTACTAATCCTATCTTAACATAGTCGATCCCCTTAAGGGCTTCTCGGGCTTAGGGACTTAGCCTTTCCCGAACGAAGATATATATATCGTAGGCTTTCTCGTTCCGAAGCGGGCTTTCAGGCGATAGACGCGCGAAGACGCATAGATCCTTTAAGGCCGCCCGGTTTGTAACTTATTTTGCGGCTTATTTGGCTAGCGTTAGTTCATCCTATCTTCTAGACAGTAGCTAGCTCGCCACCGCCGCGTATAAACGGACTAGGGGCGGCTGGTTCTGGGTTGTGTGCGAGGGATGCCCCTGGGAACTCAGGTCAGTCTCGCTAGGCCCTGTGCCATTAGCGTACATAGACCTTGCTAGACCACGTTAATGCCGGTTTAAACGCTGTTTCTCCTCCTGAAGTTCTCTCTCCAAGGATTCGATCTTCGTCAAACAGTCTTTCAAAAACTATTCCCTCTCGGCGTCCCGACGTAGGAGGTCCTGGACAAGATTCGAAAGCTTATTAATCTCGTCTCTAAGCTCAGAGTTGTCCTGGTGGTTAACCTACTCAACCACTCTGACCTTTGCAGTCGGCTTCCGGACTCGTCCCGACCGCCGAGATATACCGGCGTCCCCATGAACCGTGATCGATGGCCCTACATCTAGGGAGACCGCCATAGTCGTGGAATTCAGCTCGTATGGGCTAATGTTGAGAGATGATAGTGCAGTGGGCCGTAGCCCTCTATAACCTTAACAATTACTAACAGTGGGTACCTTTCGAGGTATGTGTTCGTGTGCTCCCTATACTGTTATTGTGGGAACAAACGGCAATCGCTAGGTATACACGGAGCCGAGCTATATCACGTGTCTTCGGCACGTGACACACCTCAGCTCCCTCCTTCCATATCACGAGCCTTCGCGTTTAGATACTCTCCTTAACAACAATAACAACAACAAGAACACCAGATTAACCCAACGATATTGCTACCGATCGCGATACCAGGAATACCTGTGTGACTAACCTGTGGTACACGCAAACCAACAGTTATGAAGGACTGGGACCTACTTAATAGGATTGGTGTGACAGTCTCTGACAACGCCAGTGCTAACGACACTTATATCAAGGCTCTTTACCCATCTCTATCACATTTATATACAGAAACTGACGCTCAACAACGTCGAATTCGATGCTATGGCCACATCCTCAACCTCGTTGGCCGTGCCATCATTCATGGCGTTGATGAGGAGGCATTTGAGGAAGAGTCTGACCGTCTTATTAACGCTGGAAGAGTGAAAGAGGACCTAGCCTACTGGAGGACTAGGGGTCCAGTCGGCAAGCTCTGGAACATCGTCAAGTATATCAGATCATCGCCATAACGTTCTGAGAGCTTCTTAGCTATTAGTAACGAGGCTGCTGATGATGATGATGCCTTTACTCTGTGGGAGGAATCGTCACAAGAGCTGAATCTGATGTTGAGTAACACTATTCGATGGAACTCGATATATAACATGATCAACCGGGCCCTACTCAAACGTACCTAGATCAATGGTTACGTATGCTATACTCTGGGCCTCGAAAATGACGAAGATTATGTCCCAAGTGAGGATATCCTCACTAACGAGGATTGGCAAGTCCTCGTCGAGTTGAATGAGGTTCTCGAGCCCCTCTATAAGCAGACTAAGAGATGTGAGGGCTGGGGCAAGGGTGACGGGCATGGTCGACTCTGGGAGGTTCCGGCAGGCATCGAGTATCTCTTGGATCGACTTGAGGACTGGCGCAAGCTCTACGATACCCTTACTACCGAAGAGATTAACCTCACGGCTACCCAAGTATCCCAAAGTCTTTCATCACAGCTATCTCGACCAGCAAGGGCATCGCATCGATCTGCCAGAACGCCAGTCTCGCAGACCCAATCAATCAACAGTATCCCAACTCATACCCAGTCTGACTATATCGCTACTTCGCAGCAGAGTCAACCGCGCCACCCCCAGGGTATTAACTTCGACTCTCACGGATACTTACGCCTATCGATTATTAATGGTTGGCAAGTACTTAACAAATATTACCTCAAGCTTGGAGAGTCTCCTCTCTACGCCGCAGCAGTGATCTTACACCCTGGCCGGGGCCTACGATGGCTCAAGAAGCGTTGGAACACCCCAGAGACGCGAGGATGGCTTCATGACGCCCAGGAAGGACTTCGAGACTATTGGGAGCAATGGTATGCCGAGATGACTACCCGTCCTAAAGAATCAACCTATCCAGAGCCTCCTCCAAAGCCTCCGCGAGGCTCTTTTGTATCGATCGCAGTTCCTCCGAGGGTTGAAGACTCTGACTATCGTCAATGGTTAAACAGCAGCCTCCATGACGCTACTATCGACGAGGTTGACGAGCTGGATCGATACTTCACCCTCTCAGTTGCCCAGCCCGTCGACGATCCTATTCAGTGGTGGATTTCACATCAACAGACCTTCCCAACGCTCAGTAAACTTGCCCTCGACGTCTTTGCTATCCCAGCGATGGCGACCGACTGCGAGAGGGCATTCAGCCTTGCCAAACTTACGCTGACGTCACAGAGGCTATCCATGAAACCATCACTGCTTGAGGAGACACAATGCCTCCAGAACTGGGTTCGAGGGGGCAGCGTTGCTGTTGGTGGGCATTACTTCAAGCGGAAGGGTTGACGGAGGGCAGGATGACATCAGAACATCAGATAATGTAAGTTTCTGACGCATAGAGACATCGTGAGAGCTTCACTGACTTCCTAAATAGGTAATATTAATCAATTCAATCCAAGCCAGTCAAATCAAGCAAGCTTCTTGTGAAAAATCAGTCAATCAGACAAGCCCGTCACCCAAGCTTGGCTTGATTGATTGGTATGCAGCGCTGACTATGCTCGTGTCTTTTTGTGGTAAGGTACAACTACGTTCTTTTTTCCTTTTTAAATCTTCATCTTAAAGTAAATCAAGGTCCAAGAGCCATTCTTTCTACGTACTGATACTACCGTTCGTATTCGTGCAGAGATACGAGCGTGTCGACGAGAGTTTACTAACGCGAGCACGTTTAAATCGAAGTAGGAAAGCTATACCGGCGTTTATTTCGATCTTTATGTCGAAGAGAGCGAGGATGCAAATCGAGAGGGGGCCCCATCAGCTCGCCCGCACAGCAGTATCTTTCTAGCTCAGATTGTTAGATCACTGACGGAGAGAGGTGCTGTGAGAGTCAGGTCGGGCGTGGCGTCACTGGAGAGGGTGTCTATATAGCTACGCTATATATACATATACTCATGATATATTGGGGTTTATGAAGATATAGTTATAGAAAGAAAGGACTGACTGTCTTTTGTGATAGATTCACACACCAATCCTATCTCTATCAACGCTTCTGATATTATCCTCTTCTTTTACCATTCCGAAGCCTGTCAGAGATCGGATGTAGACATTAGAATAAGGCAAGAGGGGAACTAAGACAAGGCTATGTCCAGGTAAATGGTAAAAGGCAATGTTAGGCAGGAGATAAAGATGGAATTCATACATTGGTGGCAGCAGATGCTCGAGTCTGTCGCCACGGAAGCGTCATGCTAATGTATGTGGGTAATATCTCTCAAGCACAGCTATCATTGACCATGATAAGTTACACGGCACAAGGGCATACGATTCAGGCAGACTTGACGCAGAAGACTACTGTAGAGAAGACTCTATTAATGGAGTATCGTCTCTATAATCTAAGAATACAAATATGCTGCTCCAATCCAGGTATCCGTCTCAGTTCCAGGAAACGACCATTGCGCCATGACTTTGTTGATGTGGCTCACATCGGTGGGCCTTGCCCGGGTGGACCAGGCATCATCTGCCCACCTCCGTCGCCGACCCATCTATATTGCATCATTGGTTGCCCATGGAGCTGCTGCTGCATCATGCCTTGCATCGGCACCTGCTGTGATCCCATGAGAGCCTGATGGTGGGGAGGCGGGTAGGATGGATGTTGGGCATGCTGAGGGTGCTGAGGGTGTTGGGGGTGTTGACCGAGCGGCGGCGAGGGTCCATGGGGTATGGGTGAAGACTGTTGGTGCGGGTGGTAAAGTGGTTGCTGCTGTTGCTGATGATGTTGCTGCTGCGGTTGATGAGGTGACTGCTGATGCTGCTGCTGCAGCTGTTGCTGGTGTTGTTGAGGCAGCTGCCCTTGCTCTCTCATCTGCCGACGCACTTGAAGCCAGGAGAACAACTCTGATGACAACCCTTCAAATGTTGTCTTTAGCGATGACGCAATGTCCCATCGTTGAGAGTATCTTCCAAGTGTTTCCACAACCTGCTGCAAACATCGCATGCTTCTATCCAAACTATCCTCTCCACCAGCCGGCCGATGAGGTAGAGGTGGCGGGGGAGCGGTGCCTGGACGAGTGATGGGCGGAATGATTCTTTGCTCCGATATGAGCAGCTCACGCTTCTCGTTGAAGACGGTGAAGAACTGTGTTGCCACAAAAAAGACCTTGAGGGCATCTAGGGAGGAGTAGAACGCCGTGTTGACAGAGCCATGGACGACACTATGAATAGTGTTCATGTATGCAATGGCATGTTCAAAAATTAATTTGCGGGTGTAGTCGGTCAGGTGTGGCTGGCGATCGCTAGGCGCAAGGCAGTGAATGTAGCTGTATCTCAGCTCGAGCTCGAAGAACTCGCGGATGCCGGAGGGAAGGTTATCAGGCAGAGACTCGTGCCACTCTCTCATTTCCAGGCACATCTGCCAAATAAAGGAGGCGGCGTCTGAAAGTGGCGCTGCGTCTCCCTGGAAAAGTGTTTGATACCATTCGGATTGGAGTCGACGAAGCTGGAACAAAACTAAAGCCGAGTCTGCTGATTGAGGACCAGTAATAGGCCCAGAAGTCAAGCCAGAGTTGCTGGGATACTCGACATTGATGGAATCGTCTGTGAACGAGAACGATCTGGCGCGGACCATGCTGACCATCCTATCCTTGGTGTTAGCAAGTTGAATCTGTTGTGTAATTCTGGGTTGAACGGGCTTACCGGTCAAGTGCATATACACAGTAAAACATTCTCCTCCGAAGGTCGAGAGCAGCCTTGTCAGGAACCTGGAGTTGCGGCGGGTCTTGATGGAATCCCAAGTCAACCACAGCACGACTCGCGAATCCTATCAGATACCAGCTGTCGAAGTGACCAGGGTCGAGCATTGAGTATTGCGTGAAGAGGATGAGCGACTGAATCTGACTTGGATATCCAGGCATCAGCGCCTTATCAGCAAAAGGCAAGGCGCGGGCGACAAAGTCAAGACCACGGCGAGAGTAGTCATCGTTTTGCTCTCTGCTCTGGGCCGCATATCCGATAGCAAGAACCATGTACAGCAACCAGAAATCAGCATCCTTAAGTCTGTCCTTGACTCTTTCATCTTGCTGGTAGACATTGTCCAAAACGGTGAGCAAGTGAGTCTCCGAGAAGGATGGGAATAGTGAGTAGATATTGGCCATGTAATACTGGACAGTGGCGAAGGCCTCTGCTCTGGTTGGGAAACTATCTTCCGTCGGATCCGGTACCTCGTCGTTAGTAGCGGCAGCCAGCACCAGGCGGGCGAACGTCATGCCGCTCAAGGATGGTTCGAAATCGCGGGTTGTTGCGTTGACGGATCTGGCAAAGGTCAGCACGCACATTCGGAGTGAGGGGCCCAAGAATGGACGTACAAGAAGCCAAAATCAGATACTAGTGCGTTAACATCCGAATCCTCCCTCTTACGGGCGGCTTTGCGGTGAATCGCTGCTCGGATGTTGGCCAGAGAGTCCTTACGGTCAGTAGGGCCCGCCGTCGTCGCTTCATCGACATCGTGGAGATTAACCGATGCCTTGCGCGACCTGGCAAACGCCAACCGCTTCTCAAGCTTTTCAACCCTGAGCTCCAGGGCCGCTACATAACTGAGTCTCTGTTAACACCATGCATGCCGAGATCTCGTGACTGGTTGACCAACCTCCTCTCCTTGCCTCGAGCGAACTGGTCATTGGCCGAAGAACACTCATTTTCGCGGCCTGCCTTCTCACAGGCAGTACAGGCTGGAAGCTTGCCATCACACTAGAATTTTCAAGTATGCATCAGCAAGAGCCCGTCAGATCCATCAGGCTGAGCAGCGGGGGCGAGGACAGCTACCTTGACTTTTGCAGCTCGACCTGTGGGGCACGATTAGCCTCGCATGAACACAAGCAGTCAGCCGCAACCATGACAACTCACATCGCGAGCAGGCCGATACAGGCCGCGATACCCGCAGCAGGGGGTTATCTGAGAAACTTGATCGCGGCATTGGGTGCGATTGAGAATGCGACGGGAAAACGAGGTGCCGTGCCTCGAGACCGCGCTATCTTGAAGCTTCGAGATCGATGACGAATCGCGAGGGGTTTACGACAGATAGATAGAGCCAGGCGATTGGGTTGATGAAACAGATGTTATGTTTTGAGAGATCTGCAGTTTTCTCTCAAAAGAAGTGCGATCCGTCAGATGGGAAGATTCAAGCACAAATGGTTCTTGATTCGGTGGTGAGCGTCTGCCAAAAGTGAAGCGAAGCGAAGCGAAGCGAAGCTAAGATTGAGGTTAAGTTGAGTTTACTGTAAAGCCGGATCGTCGTTGACGGGGCTCTGAAGGGTGCCCGGGATTCGGATAACACTGCAGGGACTGGTGCACGTAAGAGAACAGATCGTCCTAAGCGCGGTATCGCGTGTAGCAGGTGGCGCGTCGGCTGTCGGAAAGTTGAATGTCGAACTTGAGCTGGATGCGAGGGTTCAAAAGAGTCGCAACGATGATGTGTACGATCAAAAGGCGGCTACTGCGTAGAGGTGTGCGGCTGTCGGAAGACCAAAACACGAGGGATGCTGATTTGCGGTTCAGAAGTGCAACAGAGCCGAGAGCGCCGCGAAGCCACAAGTATCCGTAGAGAATCTGTACGGATATTCGTAGAGAGAACAAGGTCCGGGGCAACTGTCCGAGACGAGACGGTGCGCGAGTCGTTCACGGCTTCCCCCTTGCTGTTGCACTACCGCAGCATCTGTGGACTGTTAGGCGCCTGTCGATGATGTTTGGTGCTTGCGTGCTTGCGTCGCGCTGGAGGACGAGGCAAGGGCCGCAAGCAAGGCAAGGCAGGGCAAAGGCGAGGCAAGGTCAGGGTGCTTCGTAGAGTGCAGACGAGGCGGGACAAGGCCAGGACAGAGGAAATGTTGACCTCAGACTGGACTGGACAGTTTGGGGGGTTCGTATTGCGCGGGGAGAGAAGGTTGGTTGTAGCTTGTAGCTTTGGTACTGCCACCAGGCGCATCCAACGGCGGCGTAATAATCTGTGGGATTCCGAGACTCTAAGACTCCGAGTCTCTCTGTGCTAGAGATCGGCGGCACAGTCGACACGGTCTTTTCCCCTCTCTTGTGCGACCGACGCCGACTGAAGGGTCGACGGTTACCCCGCCTGGACTCCGTTTCCCTGAACCTGACGAAAGCTGTGGGAGGCGGGCACGGCGGGCCACAACCTGGACATACTCCGTAGTCCGTACACAGTAGGAAGTACTTCGTACAGAGTACAAGCCACCCCTGAACCCTGACTGCCCTCTTTTTGCCTTGCCTTGCCTTGCCAGATAAAGCCCGTCCCAGTCCCCTTCTCTTCCCTTCCCCTGGGGCCTGGGCAGCCACTGGCAGCTGCTTGTCGATGGATATTGGGCTGAGAAAGCTTCCAGGGTTCTCTGCAGCTTTATTTCTTGGACGGGGGACAGGCCGTCGTCGGGGCCCCCGATCTCGACGAGGATTGACGACACAACGTGTCAACGATGCAATTTGGAACCGGCAGATGCAATATTCTGGAACAAAAATAGAAGGCGAACCGCGAATCCGACGATCCGCGAACGAGAGGAGAAGCTCAAGGCCGCCAGGGGCCAAGGGGTGACAAGCCTGGCGTGCCTGGAGGTCGGCAGACCGAGAGAGCGGCCGTCGTAGTGATAAGGTTCTGCTTGGAGCCGTCTCACATCCAAGACCGTAGACGTCGTCGACTTATTCGCCAGCGCCCACCGGGCTCGACCTTGACCTTGAGCGTCTTTTCATATGTACGGATAGGTAAAAGTATGCTTCGGGTCTTCCAGGTGGAATATTCGTATGTATCCGACGTATTTCAAGCTGTGATAGGTGACTACGGACGGTAGAGGCGAAACTAGAGGCGTTTTTGATGGCACGAGGATGTTGCTGGCCTCACGCTGTTTCCATCACCAGATGAATGAGCTGCCGGGCGCAGGCGCATTGCACGGCATTTCCAGAATCATTGTTTTTGGAAGCTCAGCTCGTCGTTCTTCGGGCGCGCCGTACAACCCTTGTAGGTGTTTAATCGATCGAGGCGACGAGGCCAGCCGCACAGTCTAACAGGAGAAACAAGATGAGAGCCAAGACGATACTGACAGCGAGCTCCATGCGTTGATGTCGTGAATTGCGTTTTGGCTTGCCGCGGTCTGCCAAGCACCCAAGGTGCGCATCGCCGAATCGGGCATAGCGGACAGTGACACTGGAAACTCGGGACGAAAAGACGGAGACGTGGATCTTGCGCCACGATAAGGTGATGATTATGAATGCTCAAGCAGAGCAGCTCTGTTTGGCTGCCGGTCCAGTGCACCGTATCCGTAGACCCATCCGTTGAGGTAGGTAGACTCGTGTAGAGAGAGAAAGCACTTCGAGTCTTGGAGATCGTCACTTGAGATAGGCAGTGGAAGGGCGGTGGTTGACTCAGAAGAAGCCGCCAACGCCCTCTAGTCTTTGCAACGGGCGTGTCCAGACCGAAATGCCACGCCTGCGACCTGACTGACAGGTCCTGTAGAATGACGGTCGAGACAATTGTAGGTACGTATTGCTGCAGGTCCGGACTGAGACAAAAAAAAAAAAAAAACCACTTGAGCGGCGCCAATAAATGTGCATGATGGCGCAAGCCATGGTGCGAATTCCCCTCGCAAATGGGAGCGAGAGACTGCGAAAGTGCCGTGCCGGTGCTGGTGCTGTCATGGTGCCGTGGGTGCTTGGATTTCCCCCACTTGCTGGAGGGGTCCATGAAAAATGTCATCTCATGCAGGGCACGCCGTTGTTTCCGTCCCACAAGGCGATATTGTTTTGGACGATGGGTGTTGACTTTTTTTTTCTGAAAAGTTTCTGTCATTTTTTTCTCTCTCGTTCTCTTCCCTGCGAACTTTCTGTTTCGGGATGTCGATCTCGTGAGAAATACTGCGAGGTAAGTAGCGCTTGAGGAAGGCCCCTGAAGTGTGCCTGTTGAAGGTAGCATTGTTGATTCAATGACACGATGAGGCCAGGAGCGGGATCCGTGGACGGAGGTACTTGGTAGCGTTGGAATACCTAGGACTAGGCGAGGTGGTCAGTAGTGTATGTACTCCGTACACCAAGTCAGGTCGTCGAATGCTCAATGCTTGACAGAGAATTTAGAAATCGACAAGCCTGGATGCCAGGTCAGAAATGGCAAGGGCAGCGTGTGCTAGTGCAGCCGAATTCAGGGTTCAGTCCAGAAAAGGCTCGTCGAGCGTCGGGAATCCTTCGAAATGAGGATTAGGGCGGGGTAGGAGGGACAGAGCCGCGAATGCATGCAGCGGCGTTGGGCGGCGGCCGCGGACGAAGAGACGGTGTGACGAAGGGTATTTCGTCCTCTCCATCCGTAGTCTGCACTCTGTACTCCGTAGTGTAGGTACTCTGTCGGCTGTGTGGTTCTGGAAGATCGGAGTATGGATAGATGAAGATCATGGATCATGATTGATGGGAGGCTGGTAGTTGACCAGTTAGTCATGCATCCGTCATTCCATTTGGAGCATTATTTCCTGGTGGATGTGCGGGCGCTCTCTTCTCTCATGGCCTATGGATGTGCCCATCGTATTCCTGTACGGAGTATTAGTAAGGCAAGGCAGGAAGACATGGGTACGGCGTCTGTCTCCCCCTGATGGTGATTGATGGTGATGTGATTTATGATCGTTGCTCTTGTTCATGCCGTGCATTTGATGTGTATCCGTTATTTTGTCTCTGTGCTGCCGTGGCTGCGTACTAAAGAATAGGTGTTGATGGTCGCATGTGACCTGGACTGGGCGGCCTGGGGGAAGCAAGGGACGGGATGGCGAGGTAGAAATGCTACCGGGTGGGTGTTCCGTCAGACCGGTGTGTGGCGGTGGTGGCAGTCGAGTCCGATGAGGAAGTTGAGATGGGAATGTGAGAAAAGGGTGAGTCGGGGACGACATGTCATTGGCAGTCACCTCACCTCGTTGAAGGGAAGGAAGGAAGGGGGGGCCTGGCACTGGCATACACGCCTGGGAAGGGTCGGCTGCATGTCTCTCACTCGCTCTTGCACTTGGAGTCTTGGACTGCAAGACTCTCCCACGCTTTCTATATCGCAGCTTCCCTCCCAGAACGAAGTGCCTACATAGGTACGAAGGACAGTACGAAAGTACTTCCCTCTTGCCGCGTCTCGACAGGAAAGCCCAGCCTCGATGATGTTTGACTGTTTGGAGAGGCGGGTCTTGTGAGTGGAGACTACGGCGAATCAGATGATCAGACTTTTGGGGGAGATGATCATGGAAGCAGAAAGGAAGGAATGAGCGGGGCAAGGCCGACCTCTTTCGAGGATGGTGGGAGAAGGGCAGGGGCGGGGCACCGGGGTCAAGATGAAGGAGGTGCTGGGTATTGGGTGGGATGAGGCGGGCACGCGGACCCAGAGACAGGAAGGAACTCATCAAGGAATGATCCAAATACTTGGATGGCCGTGCTTTGACTTCTTGCACCTGGAAGGAGCTACGGCCACGGGCAGAAGAAGGAGCGAAAGGTCCTCGCTCGACCTTACTCGAGTAAGTGTGGTGCAGGAAGGCGCATTCAGCATCAGTCAGCCACAACGACACGCCTCACCTCTGACCCCTCAGATCAAATACGCATTTCACGAATACACCTATTGACTAAGTACACATATACGGACACAAGAGTATGAGGAAAAGAGACAGAGACCGTCCAGGTTCCCAGCATCAAATACCTAGCAACAAATCGGGAATTGTCAGTCAATAGCCGCCGCTCCCACATGTCTCATTTCCGCATGTGCCGTGCTATTGCTGCCCGCCTTCATATCTTGTCCTCCCCCCTCGCCCACTCGGTTTGAGCCTGTTCAAACCTCGCGGACCCCAAACTCATTAAATCCTAAGGCTCGAAGCCAGGTAGGGCTGGCTTGAAGACGAGGAGATACTTGTCCCGTCTGCCGGATTTGTTGGCCATTGTATGGATCTGTGTATCCACGGCCATGGATGATGCCGCCATGATTAGTACACTACTGTGTATGTGCCCGTTTCTAATGATCAAATGGAGCAGGTTTACCCTTTGGGCTGTCCACTTCAATATCCAGTCAGTGCCAGTTCGCACCAGTATCTGGCCAGTTTTATCTACTGAGTAGTATCCACGGCCCACGGGACATTTTTGTCTGAATTCAGTCTCCACGGAATGGATTACCTATATGGGTCCCTACGCAGTGGTAACCTGGATCCATCATCCCGCCCACCTACCGCGCCCACCCCCATTGCAACTGTGATGAGTCTTTGGAGGCTTCATCCCGTTTGCTGCGCTCCCGTCACCTGTGTCGTGCCCTCCTGTAACTTACAGTCTCACTGTCGTGATGAAGCACGGGAATGGAGACGATGTTACCGTGCAAGGTACTCAGTTAGAAAGGACGGGAGTGTCAGGTCATCGAGTCTTAACGTAGCTCTGCTAAGGTCCCCCACTGCAATGGTTCTGAAACGCCCCTACCGACACTTGGTACCCGCGAACCTTGACCGTCGCCCTGGCCGATTGCTCTGATTAGCGAATGAACAGCCGAGACCTTGCAAGTGGGTAGCTAGCTTCCTTCCTTCCTCGCATCTGTCGTCCAGCTCCCGCCTCAGCAGGTCCCCCCCTCCAAGCCTCCTTCTCTCCCACGCTGTACCTCGGCAGTACATCCCACTTCGCCTCATTGTGCCCTGGTCCGCACTCTGTCAGTATGTACCTTTTTCTCTCTTCCTAGGATCTCTCGTTTCCCCTCCCTGCCCTGCTGGATAACCGCCCATGCCCATTCGACATTGCCCACAGGTACCGAGCACGACAGCGAATTGAAGTGACAATAGGCAGGGTAGGCAGTGTCTTGTACCAGACATCACCTCTTCGAGCGTATTAAGGTGCCCTTCAAGTTGCCGTGCGGGATACCCGGCAGCAAGCCTGGCAAGAAACCACCACGCGTTGCGGAATTGCGGGCGGACTATCGACTGGACGGTACGGTTAGGTACTCCGTACTCCAGTTCCATTCCCTCCCGGTCTGCACTTGTCACCTTTTTCGGGGCAGTACAGTACCTTAGCCAGCAACCAGCAGCAATAGCGACACCTTCAATTGTGGACCTTTTCGTCTCTTCACGCCCACTGCCCGTCTCCGTCTCCTCTTGCAACTATCCGCCCGTACCCAGCCCGACGTTCATACAGTCATACACCACGTCCGAGTCCACTACACACACGCGACCGGCGAGACAAGAGGACCCTCTCTCTTCACGATACCCTCGACTTTCCTTCGAGTCCCTCGTCAGCCGAACCATGAGACATTCTGCCCGCCCTTGCGCTCCACCGATCCCTTCGCCCACGTACGCCTCCGCCCCGTAAACGATACCCACTACCTACATCGTGAACAACCCTCAACGACGACTACTACCCGCCCTCGCCGGCTCTCTACAAACTTTCCCAGCGAGGCAAAGTCAAATCACCGTCTACTGAAGAAGACGCCTTTGATCCCCTCGCTCAGACACAAATATCGACTGGGCGAATAGCCTCGGTCTCTATATCCCGGCCCATGGACATCTACCGTCATGGCCTGGGCAACATGATGCCACGAAACCCGCCCTACCATCATCACCCGCCTCCTAGCGCTCCTCCGCAACTTTACCCGGGCCCTTCCCGCGCTCCCCCTACCAGCCGCGAAGATCCAGAGAGTGACGGCCCCTCCAATCGCATTGCCCACACTCTGACGGCTTGCTGCCGCTGCCGCCAGGTATGTCGGAGCCGTTTCCCGTAAACCCGGCGCCTCCTGGGCTCCCGAGCCCCGACAAGTGAACAGTGATGTATGGCGCTTCGTAGACTCCGGCTGACTTGCTCAACTCTGTAGCGTAAAACGAGATGCGATCCTACTCTGCCCCGTTGTCTGCCGTGCGAACGCGCCGGCTCGGTCTGCGAATACTACGACACTACCAAGGGGAAGAAGATCAACCGTAATTATGTTATTAAGCTGCAAGAAAAGGTGCGCGCCCTCGAGGCCGAGCTACGCCAGTACACCGACGACGACAGCGAGTTCTCCCACCTCGACGAGGACATTGTGCGACCAGGTGGCCTGGTTCGCCTGAACGATACCGACGAGACTCCGCGCTACCTTGGCCCAAGTAGCGGCATCGCAATGACACGCTTGCTGGTCCAGGGCGCAAAGCTCTTTACCGACTCGAAGCGAATTTCAGAACTGATTCCCGAAGTTCGGGCGCGGAGGATGACGCGCATGCAGTCCATCGTGATGACCAGAGACCGAAAGAAGAGCTATCCCATGATCAGCGCCCACCCTGCCCAGAGCCTGCCGACGAGACCTATCGCCAATAAGCTCGTAGACGTCTTTTGCCAACGATGCAAGTGCCCTCTCTCCTTCCTCGGCTTAACCCTCGACTGACTTTGGTGAACAGCCCAAGTATTTTGGCCGACGTTGCACGAGAGGCTATTCTTGGACGATCTTGAGGCAGTGTATGCTGGAGACCAAGACCCCTACAAGAACCTCATCGTCCGCATGGTGTTTGCAATCTCGCTACAGAAGATGGATCCTCAGTATGCCGGTCTGGCCGACAGTTACTATTTGGCCGCGATGGAACACTTTGAGCAAGTGTCCCGGCCAAAGGATCTCAAGTCTCTACAGAGTTTGGCGCTCATCGGCCAATACTCCCTTCTGACCCCCACGAGGACCGCTGTGTACTACATGGTCGGCATGGCCACGCGCGTTTGTCAGGCAGAAGGCCTGACGGATGAAAAGACCATAAGCGCCGGGAACCTCCTGGACCCCCTGACACTGGATATGCGCCGTCGTCTTGCCTACATCATCACTTCCATGGAAGCTGGTCTGGCACATAGCATGGGCCGACCCAATGGATTCTCCAAGGCTGACGACCGGATGGACGTGGAGCCTTTTGCGACTGTCGACGACGAGTACATCACGGCTGACGGCATTGGCCAGGGGCCTCCAAGCGAGAACAAGCTGGTGGCTCTGCATTTCTTCAAGATGCGCATGGAGCAGGCCGAGATCAGGAGAGTGCTCTACGAAAAGAAGCGCGAAGAGCCCAGGGATGAGAGCCACCCCTGGTTCGCCAAGATGGAGAGAGACATTCAAAACTGGATTGACTCTTCACCTCAAAATCCGGCTTGGTGTAGGCCATGGTGTGTACTGCCCTCCTTTATCATAAGTCTTTTCTAACTGACCGTTTGCAGGTTCACCGGACGTTATCACCAGATGCGCATCTTCCTCTACCGGCCTTCCCCGCAAGTACCCAAACCCTCTCCACGAGCTGCGGGCATCTGCTTTGAAGGCGCGTCATACATTATCAATCTGTCGAAGCAGCAGATGGAAAAGGCAGCAGTCGACATCACTTGGGTGTTCCTCCTCAACCTCTACATGTCTCTTAACACACTGCTCTGGACGGTCTCGTATCCCGAGGTCCGACAGGCCCACCCTCGTGACGAGGTGGAAGAACTGAGTGATCAGACGCTAGATATTCTGGAACAATGCACTGAGCGCTGGCCGGGGACTGCTCAAGCTGTCCAGCTCTACTCCATCTTTGCCAAGGCGTGCCTCCAGAGCTACGAAGCCAGAGATACCCCCATCCTACAACCGTCCAGCACTTTCACGACGCCTCCTTCTCTCTTTGACGGCAACTCTCCTCAGGGTTCGGAAATCTCAGCTTCAACAGCGCCAGGCGGTGGGCCGACGTTCAAGGGCAACCCTCCCCATAACCCACCGCAATTCGGTTTCGTTTTTGATGCGACCCCTGAGTCGATGAACACTTACCAATGGGACCCCAACTTCCCCCCTCATCCAACATTCCGTTCCAACTCGATCTGGGGCAACTCTTCTGGCGATAACAATCCCAATATGAACACGGGCGGCCGCCGTTTTTCCGCCTACCCCCCTGAGTCACCACTGGAAGACTCTACGCCTCCAGCGACGACCACGCCCGGTTACAAGTCCTCTTCCTCGCCGCCTAGCACCATCAACAATGCCATGCCAACGCCTCCCGACTCGTTCAACAGCGGACCTGTCGGGACCCCCTCGAGCTCGACCATCTCGCCGCCCCCGATGGGAACTCCGGCCATGTCACAGTCTTCGCCACTTGTCCTTCAGCACGGAACACCAACAATGGCCCAGCACAGCACAAATATGTCACCGCCTCCGCCGCCTGTTCCCGGAAGTAGGGGGCCCGGTGGCTTTGGTGCTCCGCCGACATCGAATCCTGGTGCGCCACAACGCCCGCTGCCGAATTATAACACAACAGACTGGTTCAACCCGCCCCCTCCGTTTATCAACCCCGACGCCTTTAGCTCGATGAGCAATAGTTTCTTCGGGGACTCGTTGCAAGTCAACGGCTTCAACTCACAAAACCCTGGCTTGGGGCTTGATCAGTTTGGGGGTCCGTTCAATTGGTCACAGGAGCGTCAAGGTAGTCTTAGCCAGCAACAGCAAGTGGAGCTATTGAATGTCCTAGAGAACGAGGGTATGAGCGATATCGATGCCATTCTCAACATGGGAATGAACAACCCGAGCCCCGCCGCGAGTGTCTGGCCACAAGCATGAGTTGATTAATGGAAGTCTGGAAAATGGGAAGAACCAATCGTAGTGTCTTTGTTTTGGGTATTGGCGCGGGTGTATTATATATCGTATACCATGGAGTCACGGGCGGTGGGAGGCTTTGAATTGATTTTGCGGACAGCGGTTGCAGCGATGCGCCTCCGCATGGTAGGTATACTGGGCAGTCATGGATCATGATTTACAATAGAAAGGCGTAAGACTTGTCATCATATTTTGATATACACTTGCTTTCTTGTGCGCTGGGGCCGACCATGTTGAGTGAGATTGAGTTGAAACCCAATCACCAGATCAGCATACCTACCTAGCCTGATCTCGCTGTTTTGTCTGCGTCTTGTTCTCTACATTCTCTTGATGTGATGTTCCGGCAACGAGGGTAAGATGGCTAAAGGAATCATATGACTAACAGTAGCAAATAGAAGTCCAAGTTTGTTTCTTCAGATCCGGCAAAATTCAAGCCATCGTATGGAGCGCATAGAGACCAATTTAATCCCGGAACAACCTCAAGAACAGATGTTTAGCAAGCGAATGATTTGATTTATATACTGATACACCAGGCGCGAGAAGCACGCCCGGTGTGTGAGAGAATGGTTGAGAATATATACATGAAATATGTGTTCTTCGTTTCAATAAAATTCCAAAAGAAATGCAGTCAATGCGAGACAGAGGGGGTGAGCTTTCGTCGAGGTTCCGGCCCCCCCTCCTTTTTATCCCTTTCACATATGCTTTCCCTTTATCCCTTTCTTTCTGAGCATTGTGTCCCCGTTGTATCCCAATCTTTCAACTCGGTACTTTAGTCAAGGAAGCTACCACAAAGAGCAATCATCTCCGAGTTCCATCTAGAGACATTGGCTGTACCACTGGTTGACGACGGTGCAAGTGCTGCCAGAAACGCAGCCAGTAGCTCCAGTCCATCCCTGGCCACCGCACTGGCCGTACTTGGCGACGGTGCCGGTAGCGGGGGCGGTAGACGACGTACGGACCGAGGTCGTGATGGTGCTGGGGCGCGCAGAGGTGGTGGTCGTGCCGGTACCCGGAACGACGACGGAGCCGGAGGCGAAGGTGGAGTTGATGGGGCCGAACTTGATGTTGGAGAACTTGACGTTGGAGTTGGGCGCGTTGGCCTCGATGTCGGCGGGGACGCCCGAGGTAGTCGGGCACGAGCCGCGCTCGGCGCCGGGCTTGCCTGCGCCGTCGACGGGGTAGGTTGAGTCGAGCCAGAGCATGTTGGCGTAGTGGTCGTCCCAGAGGGAGAGGACGAGGACCATGGGGGCGGCGACGGCATCGGACATTTTGGCGAAGCCGCCCTTTGCCTTGAAGACGTCGGTGTCTCCAAATGCGAGCTTTTGCTTTGTGCAGAAGTCCGTGGTGAGGGAGTTACCCGGGTTCGAGGCGATGGTGGACTCGGAGTTGGGGACGACCTTGCCGTTTTGGACGTAGAAGCGCTTGATCTCCGAGAGGACGCCGTCGGAGCCCTTGATGAACTGGGTGACGATGGAGAGCTTCTGGGTGGTGTCGAGGGTGAAGCCGGAGCCGGGGCCGTAGAACTGCTTGTTGCCTTGGCGGTAGGAGTTGAAGTCGCATCCGTCGGGGTCGCAGTCGCCGGCGTAGCGGTCGTCGGAGTAGGTTCCGCCGCAGGCGTTGCCTGTGCAGGAGTGGTAGGCGCTGTTCTGGCAGGGGTGAGGGGTGTAGGCTGTGGAGATCTTGTTGGCCTCTGTTGTTTTGATTGTTAGTTTGTTTTGTTCATGTTCGTATGTGTAGAGTAGAAAAGGGGGTAAGTGAGACTTGCCCCAGATATCCATCTCAGCGCAGCAAGCACCGAGGTTGCCGACACCACCGTTGGCGTCGTTGCTGGAGGGGTTCCAGCCGTCGACGTTGGCCTAGAAGTAATTTGTGAGTCTTTGATATATGAGTTGGGATGTAAGAGTCTTGACTTACGACACCGTTGATGAACTTGACGTCGCGGGGGCACTGCGAGTCGCAGTATCCGGTACCGTACTTGGCACCAGCCTTGTTGGTAGAGAACTTGGAAAGACCACCGTCGAGGTCCATGGAAACGAAGTACAGAGCGCCGTTCAAGCCGCAGTCGACGTTGGAGACATCGACGTCAAAGGTGAACTCGTTGCTGAAGAGGGTCAGTATTCATCCGAACTTTGGGATCATCCATTTCGCGACTGACCCGAGCAGCACAAACTGCTGATAACGCGTGTCTGACTCCATGAGATAGACACGGCTACCAATGTTCTTTCCATAGGCGTGCGTAGTCACGAACTTGAGGTTAAGTTCGTTGCCGCTGGTGGTGATGCCGTAGGTACCCGGGTAATCCGCGCCATCAACACAGCATTTTGTCGCACAGGCAGCGCCCTGCCCGCTAGCGCAGAGAGTGTTGTTCCACGTGTTTTCAGTGTAGCAGTTCGTCGACCCTTCGACGGTGTGAGCCCATCGCCAGTTGGAGTCGAGGACAACGGAGCCGGCGACGTTGGTGCAGGTGCCTCCGGCGGCGCACTTTGCCCAGGTGAGGGACGGGTGGGTCTCGGCTTGGGAGGTGCAGACTTGCTGGGCGCGGGCGGCGGCCGCGAGGGCGAGGAGAGCGGCGAACTTGGTCTGCATTTTGTGATGCTTGGACTGGTTGTGGTGTTGAGGGGGAGAATGGTGGTTTGGGATGAGGGTGAGAGGGATGGGGAATGGGATTTCTGGATGAGGGAGATTGTTGGACTTTTATAGAGACTTCTCGTCAGTCTTTGATGATACTTTACCATTGGATTTCGAACCTTTTGCTTCTTCTACAGCCGCGTTTCCACTCTTCAAGCTTGGATTGATGTGACATCCAACCCCATGATCGACTAGTCTAGCGACGAGGAAGCGAGGATCCGAAGGAGCTCACGGCATCCGGGCCGCAAACGACCTGAAGCCAAGGTACCGGCTAGACTGAAGTGTCCATGATCAAGGGGTAGTCTGTACACAGGTCCACGCTTGGCATCTTTGGTGGTATGGGCGGAGGGGTGGCGAAGGACTAACATCGAGGGGGGGTCGCGCGTGTAAGTGTCAGGAACCACGGCTCCCACGATGCATCGTCGTCAACCCAAAATTTGTACCTCGTTTTCCCGAATAGGCAATTGGAGAAACTGCACCGCTTTTTCTTTGATTTTGGGGTAAGTCGTAAGGTACAGACATACGTGGGTGAAGCTATATTTTGCCGCTCAATACCCTACCCTCTATGCCTATGATTCCTATTACTGCCACTGCCACTATTGTTACCATTCTTATCACTACTACTAAATTTCATTTTCTATGTGTTCCTCAGAGAATACGCTTTGGTACAAGTAGTATGGTAGTGATAGTAATGGCAGTCGAGACAGTACCTAGTATAAGGTCTGTTGAACCCATACGCGTGGGCTCGCAGGTTCTCGCCCTCAGTCCCGAGCCGGGGAGAGAATGAGACGATGTAACCTCCGGCCATGCGGCTGGTCACACACACATCCTCGCTATGTTCACTTTCTCACTACGGAGAAACCGGTCACACAGGAAACTGAGTGCCATGTATGTGTGAGGTGAGGTGGTGGTGAATTCCTCTTCCCAATGCGGACTTGTCCCCGCGGCTTTCCTCATTGGAGCACTTTTCTTACCCCTGCGCCCAACGCGGAGGCCTTGCGCCGAGTACTACGCGCCTCGAATCGTCACAAAAAAAGGCCAGCTTTTTGACAGCGTGGGAGGCCGGTATCGTGAGATAGCATAACCCGAGTCATCTCGCAGGAGGGCCGGGAACGAGAAGAAAATTTGCGCATCCTCGTGATCATGATGGCTTCCCGAAGATCCCGCCAGACTTGGTACATTGTTAGTCTGGTTCAACTCGAGTGCCCCTGAATGAAGTCTCACTCTCACTCTCACTCTCACTCACACGACTTCACACCATCATGAGAACCACCATGAGGGACGCGGCTTCGACCCCCTTCTGGTGATTCGACTGATAAGAGGATTAGAGATACGCGAATAGTTGTTTTAGGCATCTCGCTCCCCGCAATTTGCAAGGATCGCCCTCCAGGCTCCCCGACTTTTCGTTGCACATCATGAGCGGGAAGAGAGAACCTTCTCCCCGCAGAACGCTATTAGCCATCCGGCACTGACTGCCACGCGCCCGCTCTGTTCCTTGCTTTTGCGGAGAGAACGCCACATTCTTCATTCTTTGGAACACTGGGGAGGGGTTGATTCTTAGCGGCATTCAGACACGTCGTTGACGATAGTTCGTCGTTGAACGTTGACGGCGTCAAGATATCTCGACAAGCGAAGCGGCTCTGTTACGCCAATATGCTGGACCCAGCTTGGCTCTCTAAACTTTTGGGTTCTTTGATAATTGATCAACGTGTTCAACCAATGCCAATCAATGCCTACCAGACCGATGGGTTCAGAAACAAATTGTGCGAGATTCAATGGAGCCCTGATTCAATTTGGAGGCGGGAGGTGCTGTCCCATATTGCATGCGTTAAGAGCAGGGCCTGCCACCACACCACTTGTGACTGGTCACGTTGCCTCTCTGCAAGTGTGTGTGTGTGTGTGTGTGTGTGTGTGTGTGTGTGTGTGGCTGAAGGGACCGCGGTACTGCGGTACGGATATTGTGAACCTGCAGGACTTACTTGTCGGTGCTCATCACGGTGCGATGTCACTCGACGACCGACGTTGAGCAAGAACCTCGCTAGCCAAGATTCTACCGCCGAGGGACGCAATGGCCCCACGTCGCAACTTGCCAAGAGGCTTTTGAATTTACCCGTGATGACCAGAAAACTAGAGTTTCTGGGCGGGCGAGGGTCAAGAAGCTTGAGAAGCTTGAGCTCAGCCTCCAAACGTAGCAATCCGTGGCAAAGGTCCAGAGCGTCGCCGGATGCGGTGGTGATCAGCATTGGTAGCCGCGACAAATTCAACGTCGTCCTTTCGATGGGCCATCTCACTCTCATCATCTGGGACGTCGCCGACAATGGCTACACAAGCGAGGAGGCTTCGTGGGCGATGGACATCCGCCCCTGGAGCATGGGTATCCGAACGGCCTCAAGCGAAGATAGATCTGAGGATCTTCGCTGCGCGAAGTAAGATGGCTGCTAGGAGTTAGGCACTGATGAGCTCTTTCCCCCTTGCGTACATCCGAATCGAGACCATTCCGTGCGTGGCAGCATGCTTAAAAGTCATGCTGTGTTGAGGAGCGCCACTTGCAGCTATCGGGATACAGACAGCTCCGAAGCCGAGGGACCAGCCTCGTGGGGCCCATAAGCTATTCC